GTTGGGCTGCCTGGCATATCGATTCGTAAGCCTAATTTTACAACTTCTGTGAGTATTTCCAACTTTAGACATCTTGATCCTTTTTCCCACACGACACCTCATATTTATTCATACTTTGTACTCAACAATCAACATTATCTGGGTTCAATCAGTTACCTTTTTTTTTTTTTTTATTGACTTGCAGGTATGTCCACAACAACATATTCTTTAGTTTTGCTGTTGATGCCGACCTTGAGCAATTGTCGCGAAAGCAGACAGAAGTCAACTCTGAACTCCAGACCACATCTTCGTTGCGAGGTGATTCCAAAACTTTGGAGAACAAAGTGCCGCTTGTTGATAGCAATCTGCCACGTGTGGGTGAATCAGCTATTACAAACATGGAACACACTAGTGGCGCTGAGGCAATTTCCCCCGACATGCCTGCAGAGTCTCAGCTGGCAGAAAGCGAGCAAGCTACATATGCAAGTGCTAATAATGATTTGAAAGGCACCAAGGCATACCAAGAAGCAGATGTTCCTGGCTTATACAATCTTGCTATGGCCATAATTGATTATAGAGGTCACCGAGTTGTTGCGCAGGTGCACTTTTGCTTAAACTTATTTCTCATTAGGTCCTTTATACTGGAATTTTTATTTGATCAAATTCGATGTTTCTGCTAATTGGGGTAAATAAGTGCCATTGTTTGCACTTATTGATATCCAACTCACTCGGTTTTGCCACACCAGACTCACTCTCGTTTACTTTCCTTGCATTTATTGTGCTCTAGTTCTCAGAAATCTTTCTGAATGACAAAACAAATTCCGATTTATGATATTGTCCATGCTAGTCGTATATCTAAAGACCTTAAATGTATTAAATTGAGCATTAAGATATTAGTTGTTGGCATGATTCATGTTTTGGCTCGTAACTGCTTACTTTTCATCTGCTGCTAGAGTGTGTTGCCTGGAATCCTCCAAGGTGATAAATCAGACTCCCTTCTATATGGATCTGTTGACAATGGCAAGAAAATTTGCTGGAGTGAAGATTTTCATTCCAAGGTAGGAGGAGCTACCAAGTTTACTATGAATTATGAAAGCATTTTCAAGTTTCATTGATTACCTAAGCATTCCTCAAATGTTTTCCAATCCAGCTTAATTATGTCACCCTTTTTCTCCGAGTGCTGCAGCTGCTTTCCCTTTCTCATGGATATTATCTTTATTATGCAAACAAATAATTCTCTTTTATTTCTTCATTAAATTACATAAGCATTGAATCTGTGGTACCACATACTTTTAGCATGATAAATTTAACCTTTTATCTTCACCAGGTTTATTTGTTGCTGATTTACCTTTTCTTTTATATTTCCTTTTCTGTCTAGCAAGAAGCTCTGTTGTTGGAAATAGCATTTCTCAAATCTCATGTGTAGACCTTACGAGTAGGGTTTTTCAAAATTCAAATCATATTGATGCATGCTACTCTGATCCCATATTGCTTTATTGAAATTAATTTTTCGTTGGAGTAGATATTTTGATTTGCGAATGATAGTTAACTCTTCTTTGACACATTGCATATATGGGATGGAGTAAACCGTTGGCTTAAGTTAATTTTGTGGGAGAGAGGGAAAGTTAAGAAATCAGTAACTGCTATTAATTTATTTCACACTTGTTATGCAGAATATAAAGATTTTTTCTTCCAGTCTTTCAGAGAAGTTCAACTACACATGCCATGTGTTGATTTATTTAATTTTATTTATCAACAATAAAATGTCTTTCGATCTTGAGATGGTCTCCTCTATTGATGTATAAGCTATAGCAATGTGCAAAAAATTAAGCAATCAAGTTGACTGATAGATTTTCCATATTGTTTTAAGAAGATGTGATGGTTCTTGTTTTAGTTACAAAATGAAGATTAGAAAGGGGGATATAGAATTTTAATGAACGGGTTGTTTTGAGAATGTCTTCAGTAACTAATTTGAGAAAATGAGGCACAAACTCATTTGGACTTTTGGTCTGAAAATGCATTGAAGTTTCTGGAGAAGAGTTGGACTTTCCTCATTAACGACAACTAAAAAATTGCACTTTTTTTTCTCATTACTATGAAGTGCAGTTCTTTGCTAGAAAAGAACCTTCAGTTGTCTTTTCAATGTCAAATATATCATTTTTCAGAGACCAAATTCTAAAAATTCGTCTCTATGTTGGTATTCTGGGGCTTTGTTTCTTCTAATCACCTGAATTTTTAATGTTCGCAAAATTTTGCTTGACAAGTTAGTATTCTTAGTTTTACCAGTATTTCGTAGGTATTAGAAGCTGCTAAACGTCTTCATCTGAAGGAGCACACTGTACTTGATGGTGCTGGCAATGTAGTGAAACTAGCTGCACCAGTTGAGTGCAAGGGCATTGTTGGTAGCGATGACAGGTGTGATTTCTCTTTCATATAGTTATCTTCTGTTGATACCTTTTGGGTCTTTCATTCTTCTTCTCCCTTCCAATTTGAAATGTGAATTTGCTGTTACGTCACAGCCCCTAGAAAGTACTTGAAACATTGAATGTTTCCTCAGATGGATCATCTTTGTATTCATGTACTTACTTTCTTATAGTTTCAATCTCAGTGGTTGAAGGATGGTTTTTGACCTTATTCTTTGGCCAAGACATTTGCCTCAATGCTCATATTCTTGTTAATATCTGATTGCATCATGCTGAATTATCAATCATAGAGTCTGAATACTCTGGCTAATTATCTTGCGGAGTAAATCCTTTATCCATCTTTTACATGGGCCTGTTTTGGACTTGGTAACCTTTCTAACATAATGCTCATTCCGTCCCGAAAAATAGTACATGTTTCCATTTAAGGGGTGCCAAAAAGATAGTCCTATTACTTAAAATAAAGCATTTATTTTATGAAACATCTACTAGAATAGTCATTGGATAAATGAATAATTAATTTAGAGTACTTTTTTTTTTTTCTCAAAACAATAATTTTGTTTTCTTAAACTGGGTGGAGTGTCATGAGACTCTTAGTGGGATGCAGTGTTATTAATGGCCGAATTAAATGGCGGTTTGCCAAAAATTCGGTATAGTGGCCGCCGTGGCAGCCTATGGCACTGCCATAACCGCATCCTTCACAAATTTTGCATGGCAGATTGTCAAAAATCCACCAAGCCATACCCTCCATGGCCACCATTTGATAACACTGGTGCAACGGACGGAATATTTTTTTTTTAACTTTTTTTTCACTTTTCTTTATATTACTTGGGCGGTCTACTCGTGTCCTGGTAGTAAATATTGTAGATGTAATTTTGCGATGTTTCCTGCCTCACTCTTCTGACTTGCTTATGGTTTCTTCGGGTTCATTTTCTACTATGCGATCAGACATTATCTTTTGGATTTGATGAGAGTCACTCCTCGTGATGCAAACTATACTGGACCAGGTTCCAGATTTTGCATTTTGAGACCTGAACTAATATCTGCCTATTGCAATGTAAGATTCAATTTGCCAACAATAAATTTCACTAGTAAGCCATATTAAGAAAGCACAATCTTGAACTTTTTTTTTCTTTTTTCATTCTCTTCTTTTGGTTTGATGAAAAGGCTGAAGCTGCGAAGATGACTAAATGCGGGAGTGATCTGAAGCAGGAGAATTCTGTTTCTGATTCTTTGAATGTCAGCAATGTTGGAGAAGTGGAAAAAGCTGAGGAGCCTGCTGCATTAACAACAAGTAGTACACTGGTACGGTTCCTTCTCAGAGTAGCTTCTTTTTCGCCTTGACGTGGGCATAACTTTTACTAGAAAATTATGAAGTTCAACTATTACTAAGGCTATGTTTGGTAGACCAATAAGCTAGCTTATAGCTTATTTGATTAGCTTATAAGCTCCCTGTATTTAAATAAGCTCCGTTTGGTAGGACGAGCTTATTTAAAAAGCTCAAGCTTATTTGATAAGCTTCTTTTGGTAGCTTTTCAAATAAGCTCAAGCTTATTTGATAAGCTTCTTTTGGTAGCTTTTCAAATAAGCTCAAGCTTATTTGATAAACTTCTTTTGGTAGCTTTTCAAATAAGCTCGTTGGAATTTTTATTTCAACTAGCTTATCAGCTAATTTTACCAAACACTATTATCATAAAAGCTAGCTTTTCAGCTATAAGTCGTAAGCTATAAGCTATAAGCTCGAAAATTACTAATAAGCTATAAGCTAGATTATCAGCTATCAACTAGTTTTACCAAACATAGCCTAAGTGTGCGTGTGCCCATAAGCAGTGTTGATTAGAATTAATAAAGTTCTACAATTTAGTTGAGCACATTGTCAATGGGTGGATTTTCGCATAATACAGATTTAGAACTTTCTTTAATGCAAGCTAGATGCCAGGATTCTGGCTTATTGTGCTTGTTTGGTCTTGCATTAGACTTTTGAATAACATGGGCAGATTTATCCTTTTTGCTGCCGGTCACTTAAACTATCACAGCTTTAGCCTATCAGATAATTGGGTTGTTTGTTGATTTTTGCATATTAATCTCCTGTCTACCTGATTTGGTAATAAATAGCAGGGTCTCGTTTATCTTAGGGGACTTGACTTGATAAGTTTATTATTCCGCCCTATCTCGCATTTCTTTACTATGGTTTGGACCGGAAGATTTATTCGCAACTCGTCTTGGACCGCCTATTATCTCGTGTATTGAGCCGATAATTTCGGGTTTTTTTGTCCCTCAAAATTCAATGGCCAGAATCACTTAATAGACCCTTGTCTACCATATAAAGATAAAAGTACCTGATTCAACCTTGTGACAGCTTGTATTTACAATTTTGCTAATGTAAAAGTCTTAGAAGTCCACCCTCCAACCCTCTATTCAGACCGCAGCAGACCTGATATGATATTCATCCCCTTCTTTGCATTCACCAGCCCAGTCCACTGTAACATAGAATGATTTTTCGGTTTGATGAAAAAAGAAGACTTTCTAATTTGACCTTTTTTGCTGGGTTGGAAGACAACTAATCGAAGCTAGACAAGGGAAACTTAATGGAATTCGCTCAAGATAGAAGATTGGCACACCATCCTTTAAGGGTCCGTTTGATTCTTGATACAATCTTCTTGATTTTATCTAAGGATGTCCTTAACTAGCCCATTTGGTTGATGGTTGATAATTATAACTTTTAAGCTGAGATTACATTTTGCCCTTCATTTACAATTAAATTTTCAAATCTTGTCCACTCCAAAATTTGGATTTCTTTCATGACATGGTAAAATTAATAAAACAATTTCAAATTCTTCAACCTATTTATACATTTCCTTAATTCTATTTTTCTCCTGAAATTACAACTAACATAAAAAAAAAAAAAAACAAATTGGGGGTTTGGAGAATTCTCTCTAGCTGAGACCGATTGAAAATTCAGTTCTCTCTCGCTGCCAGAGTTGAGAGGCGGCGGCTGGCCGAGAAGGTCTGGCGATTTACCCCGCAGGTTGACCAACTGAGGCTGAGCTTCCGGACGGCGCCATCGGGCTGCAGGTGACGCAGTTGGAGAGGAAAAGAGAGGTGGTGAGGAGGAAAAAGTTTACGTTTTGGGGACATGCTGTGAAGGGGAAATTGGGGAAGAAAATTCTGCTAATCTTGATCCGTCGATTGGATTCAATTTGTGAAAGGAGGGTAGGATTATGGGGACACAAGGGGAAATTGGGGAAGAAAAGAAGTGTAGGTATTTATGTAAATATAAAAGCAAAATAGCGATAGATTCTACATCCCACCTCATAGGTGGGATACCTAATACTGAAAAATCTTAATAATAGACCGGGCCATGACTTGTATCAAGGGCTTATCTATTGGAACCTAACATGTTAATAGGATGGATATGTTATGACATGGTGTGATATCGTGCACAATCAATCCAACCAAACGGACTCTAAGGGTAACCAAATGCCAGCTACATCATGCTTAAAACCTCTCCATTGTATCACAACTGCTGCACCTCCTCTGGTCAGCATTATTCTCTGCAATTTTTCTTATAATCTGAAATAATGGTCAGAGGGTTTGGGATGATTTGGGTAATGAGAAGATGACACAAGTGCAAAGTTCAATTTTTAATCCCAATAACTGAAGCACAAAAAAGAAACACAGGAGAAGAATAGTGTATCCACGGAAAAGTACTCAGTCTTAACTAGTGAATAGAAGATGAACATATTTGAAATTTACAACCCTGACCTAACAGATAGAATTGTCTTATCCTGTCTGAATAAATAAATGAGCCCTGGGTTCAAATATTCTCTAATATGTTGGATTATTATTATGAGTGCTTCTTTTTCCTTTTTTTTTTTTAATATCTTTTGTGTAAACACCCATAGGTTTGTGGATTAGTCAGTGTTATCAAATGCCAGCCATGGCGTGGAAGAATTCTGCCAAACCTCCATGCTGAATTTCTTAAGGATGGCGGTTATGGCGGTGCCATATGACACCAAGGCTGCTTCCATGTCGGGATTTTGGCCAGCTGCCATTTACCGCTATCTGCCATTACTATCACTGGGATTAGTTGAAGTTAGGCAGCTTCATTATTGTTTATGTGTCATGCTACAATTGTTTACTTTTGACCATATGGAAAGACAAGCTAGAAATCCAATCTTCACAAGAGATGGAAAAGCTAGTCAGGATTTAGGACTCTTATTTCTTTTGTCTACAAGGCTGATCTCCTAGAAACAGTTGTTCGCTAAGTGAAAATGGGAAGATTATGGTTAATGGGATTTATTAGTCATTGTGGTATGCAACATAATGCTATTGTCTTTCGTTTGAATAACAAAATACTGCTGACTCGACTTTTCCAATTGTCTATGCTTCTTTGTTTATGAAATACTTAGTGTTGATAAATGTTCAAGTTCTTTTATGGTTTTAAAAAAATTATTATCTCTGTGATGTATGAACTCTCTTATATTACCAGGTCGAAAAAGTGGTTCCACCTAGTTTCAGTTCACATGGTATATGATTTCTGCAGGATGATGAAAAAGGTGGGACACAGAACCTTCAAGAATGTGATTCTCAATTTAGCATGAAAGACTCAAGCAAAGAGAGATTTTTCAATCCAAACGTTTTCACTGAATTTAAGCTAGCCGGGAGTCAAGAGGTAGCATATGTAACCTTGCCATTATGTCAATGAACCTAATATTTTCCAGCAAGTCCTTGTTGAAATTTGCAAAGCAATATATTGCAGGAAATTTCTGCGGATGAGGAAGATGTGCGGAAAGCAAGTCTGTACCTTAAAGATGTTGTATTGCCTAAATTTGTGCAAGATTTGTGCGCCCTTGACGTTTCACCAATGGATGGACAAACCTTAACTGAAGCACTCCATGCCCATGGCATTAACGTTCGATATGTTGGAAAAGTAATGAACTTTTTCAAGTTTGTAGCACCATTCAATTAGAATTCTGAGCTTGACTTGAACATTGGGTTTGTGGAGTTTGAGCAAAAAAGTCTTTAATTTATCCTTTTGATTTTGATCGAATAGCTCATACGTTGCTTGGTGCTATAGGTTGCTGCTGGGGCCAGACATATGCCTCACTTATGGGATCTTTGTTGCAATGAAATTGTTGTTCGATCTGCTAAGCATGTTGTTAAGGTAACTGACAGTCATGCCCTTAATCATTATTTTGCATGCAGAGCATCATGTAGGTGATTCAATCTTTATCACCTGAAGGAAAAGGTATTCTGAGTATCTAGATTTTACATACTGCTGCTTTCTTTCTTTTGATGAACATTTCAGTATAAATTCTTGGAACATTTTTTGTGATGTAGATTGTTATTAATCGGTTTTTAACAATGTATTGTTAAAATTATAAAAACTAGCATTTAGTGAAGAACACAAGTGGTTTCTAATTAGTAGGTTGGTAATATGCTCTGACAGAGTCTTAATTACACTTGTGCTCAGAGAGATGGAAAGAGAAGATCCTTGACTATACAGCTCTCGGACCAAAATATTATACTTCTTACAGCACTGTGGCAATTGACCTCAGACTGACACCTGTCCTACTCTTGTCCTTTCTTAATTAATAAAGTGAATCCTCATGTCTAGAATCTCTCTTTGGATTGGTCTTGCATCTTATTCCAATCTTAGAATCTAGAGCCTCTTAGTTATTTTGTTTTATAAAAGCTAATTTGAGAGACTTCAATCACAACTTAAGTACATGGTATGTATGGGAAGTGCATTATTACTTCAATTTGTGTAATGATAATTCTCTCCCTAAAGGGAGTTAAAGTACTAAAAGCACGCCTATTTGGCCTCCGTATGAATTTTTGCTTTTTTTTTTTAATGCCCTCCACGCCCATTATATGCTCATTTTAAGGAGCTTTGCATTGACATGCAGGACATCTTAAGGGATACTGAGGACCATGATCTGGTGTTCGCAATTTCACATTTTTTCAACTGTTTCGTGGGAAAAGTTCAAGCTGTTTCTGGAACAGGCATTACAAACAGTTCACCATCGAAATCCCCGAAAAAGGTGTGGGACAGTTTTTCTCCTAAGAACCTATTATCCCATGTTTATATTTGCTGCATGGTTTGGAATTTTGTTACTCGATTCACTTTCTGGTCGCTCTTCTATGCAGTTTGATGAAGAAAGATAATAATGATCTCATTATGTCAACATAGTAATTTGAAATTTGGAAGAAGTTAAAATGATTCATGAGATTATTCATTCCACCAGTTGACTTAATATTCACTTTTATCGTCTCCGTGTAACTCTGGAACCTACATGGTTATTGTTATACAGGCACATTCAGGACATCGTGCTTCTGGAAAGTCTCCGAAGGGACTCGCGAAGTTGAAAAATGGAGGATATTTGAGGAAGAAAGAGTCTGTTTATTTGAGTATCACCACCGATAGTTTGTGGTCTGACATCCAAGAATTTGCAAAACTCAAATACCAGGTTTCTTGGTTTTCAATTGAACTCACGAAGTAGGCTCTGTAAAGCTTGTATTTTACTTCCTTGAGATATTTCTTCTGCAGTTTGAGTTGCCAGAAGATGCCAGGCAGCGGGTGAAAAAAATCTCAGTTATTCGGAATCTTTGCCAGAAGGTAGTCTTCTTCGTCTTAAACCAAAAATAGAAATGACTGAGTTTAGTTTTTTTTTCTGGAACCAAATTGGTCAGTCCATTTATATTATTATCTTTCACAGTAGGTATAACTCTTTCGCACTAGTTCTTAGTAATTTCATCAATTATTAGAAAATGCAGCGTGCTTGCAAAGAAGACTGTCACCTAGTTACAATTGCAGAGCGCCTCATTCACCATGAATTTAAAAAATAAATAAATAAATTGGACGGATACGACATGCTTTTTTTCGTGGTGTAAAAGCCGTAATGTGCTTAACATAGATTGTCAGCAAAGCAATCAATTCTGGAAAGTGCTAAGTTCCAAGGATTGCTATTTATTCAAATAAGGTTATTTGGGACTACTACATTATACGCTGTTCGGAATAAAGAGTGTTTCTGGAAAACTGGTTGATTTCATTGTTCATTAACATGTCGGTTGTAGAAATTATGTGAGACATTATAATCCAATGTGGTGAAGAAGTTCTGAAATTGGTTCTTTAATTTTTTGTTATACATCACCCATAATCACTTATTTGGACACTTTGAAGAATGATCCGAGTACAAGCGTGTTTCCCGTCAATCAAAGTAAACGACGTTCAATATGATAGTAGAACTTCTCTCTGGATTTTTGTGTATACCCTTTTTTAATAGTTCATTTGCTTTTTATTTATTCATGCAATCATTTATCTGATTAACAGGCTGGAATCACCATCGCTGCTCGCCATTATGATTTTGATGCTTCGACACCTTTTGAAATTTCGGACATATTGAACATCCAACCAGTAGTGAAGCATTCAATTCCAGTCTGTTCAGAAGCCAAGGATCTGGTTGAAACTGGGAAAGTTCAACTAGCAGAGGTATGATTATTTTGTTCCGTAATGAGGAAATTTAAGTTAGGCTATGTCATTATTACTCCGCCAGTTATATATGCTATCATATTCTCGTCATCTTGATGGTGTTGATGCTTGCAATAGAGTATAGAAATGGTGATACAAAGCTACAAGACAACTGAAGTATCAGTAAAGCTTATTGGTTTGTTCGTATAAGTTTAATTCCTAATTTAATCACTCATCCTCCCATATGTTATGAAACTTTGCTTGTCACCCATTACCCACATAATATGTGTTGCCTCGTTATTCCTTATTATGCTGGCCAACGTTTTCTGCAATCGAACTTTCTCGATAAATCACAAATTCTTTTGGGAGCTGTCCAATAGCTTTGTGTTCAATTTTCTTTTTTTGCCATCTTCAGGGAATGCTCAATGAGGCATACACACTATTTTCTCAAGCTTTCGCATTATTCCAGCAGGTTAGATTAAAATCTTGCTTAGCCCTTGTATGTTCGGTTGATCCTGTTATAGGAAATTTAAAACGAATACAAAATATTGCAGGTCACTGGTCCAATACATCGGGAGGTCGCAAATTGTTGCCGGTAATTATACTATGTAATCATGTCATTTTCTAGACGTTTTCCTTGTATATATTGGATGATACTGGACTTTGTCAATATATTATAGCTACTGTTAGGCATCAAAACATTGAGCTTTTCATTAGTGTGTTAAATGATTTATGGTCTCTAAGTGACTACTGAACATGACTGTAATTATAGTTACTTGGCAATGGTCTTGTACAATGCTGGAGATATGGCTGGAGCCATTATGCAACAACATAAGGAACTAATCATAAATGAAAGGTGTCTTGGCCTAGACCACCCCGATACTGCGCACAGGTTAAACTATTTTCCTTTGGATTGTTTTCACTGTTTTCCTTTATATATATTAGTTGTAGTACAACATCCATGTATTTCATGGGTGTTAATTATTTTGTGTATAGATTTTCTTTTTTATACATATTTGTTTTTAAATATTTCATAAAGAAATGCTTTACTTTTTTATTTTAAATGATATTTGTTACCCATAAGACTCAGCTCGTCTTAGTGTAGCTAACTTATTATCAAAAATTGCTTATCATACCGTGTATCAATTAGATTTGATATATAAATTAATTTTGATTGATGTATACTAATTTTATTATTTTCTCAATTAAAATTCATGGATAATTTTATTTTTTATTTTTTATGGAAGATATATTTATCTTTTATTTCATATATCCTATATGGATATCAAATTGAAGATTATAACGTGATATTTTATATTTATATGTACACATATAAAGTATGGATGTTTGACCGAAAGATAAAATTGATTATTTAGACATATCATATTTGAAAAACTGATAACAAAACATTTACATATAGTGTAAAGTTACTCGAGTGTTTTATAATTTTAAAAATCCTAATCTAGAAATCAAATTTTATTTTACATAAAATTGACACTTAACATTGCAAAACACCAAAAATTTATACATTGGATTGCAAAGCACCAAGTTTTGTGTGCTAATTTAAGTAGAGGCACTTCATGTTTGATGATTAGATTTCTGCTTACATCACGTATTATGTGCAGCTATGGGAACATGGCACTGTTCTATCACAGTTTAAACCAGACTGAGCTGGCATTGCAGCACATGTCACGTGCTCTGCTGCTCCTAAATCTTTCGTGTGGGCCCGATCACCCTGATGTTGCCTCTACTTTTATAAACGTTGCCATGATGTATCAAGATATCAAAAAGATGGACACAGCACTTAGATATTTGCAGGAAGCCTTGAAAAAAAATGAAAGACTGTTAGGGGAAGATCATATTCAAACAGCCGTGTGTTTTCATGCTTTGGCTATCGCTTTCAACTGTATGGGTGCTTACAAGCTATCTCACCAGGTATGCACGCAACACATATATAGTTGATTTAGGAGTTTACATAAACTCGCACGTCCTGATGATTGTTTTCTGTGTCAGCACGAGAAGAAAACATATGATATTCTTGTGAAACAACTGGGGGAGCATCATTCAAGGACAAAGGAATCTCAGAACTGGATGCAGACATTCAAGATCAAAGAGGCAAGTAGTATTAAGCTAATCCTAGCTAACATTCAGCATTTATTTAATATGTAGTATTAGTGTAACCAATGTTTGTCCTACAAGTCCCATCTAAATTTTGTTTCTTTTTCTTTTTTTTTTTTT